TTTACACAACAGGCTGCCAGGCCTTTCTTCCCAAGTGCTGCTGGATGGATTTGAGAAAACTGATTGTGTCAATTAGGGACCTAATGCCTTGAAGCTAAGGGGATTTGGGGCTTGGGAAGCTGTTTGTCCTTCAGGGTTTTGTTGATTTGATGTTTAATTGGGTAGAAGGTAAGATGAGGCAGTGAGAGCGGTGAGCAGCGACCACACCTTCATATGGCATGTCTCAGAGCTGAGAGACCAAAGCCTCTCAAACAGACTGGGAACAGGCTTTTAGCAGTTACTTTGGGAACATGGAAAACTAGAGAGATTTCTCCACCAGGGGCAAGAATGAATGAAAGGTATCTTGGGCTGTTAATTGAATACAATGCACAAACTGTGTGCTTCATACACATCATTTCCAGGGAGATTCTGAGAAATAGAGGTGATGGTCATTTGACTTCAGAAGCTGAGAAGCCACTGGATTTGGTGGCTTTAAATCAGGTGGGGAATTTTTTTTCTGCCAAAATTTATAACATTCACGGGTCATATAAAATTATCAAATTAACAATCAGCCTGTTATATTTGGTCCAACATTTAATTACTCCTAATGTGATGGCTGGAGTCCTGGTGTGGCGCTGTGGGCTAATGTGTCAGACTGCAGAGTGATTTGAACTGCAAGGTCGGTGGTTCAAGCTCACCAACTGCTCCTTGGAAACCCGATATAGGGTTGCTATGGGTTGGAATCGACTCAACAGCACTTAACAATAACAACAATGTGATGGCTGGAACTGTGGTTGCCTTGGCAAGGCCATCCAAGTGATTTTGTAGGCCGAACATTCCCCACCCAATTTAAAGTTTAAATCTTTGCAGGAGCAGAAAGCCTCACCTTCTGTGGAGCTTCTGGCAGGCTTGAACCATGGACTTTGTGGTTCACAGTCCAATGCTTATCATATGGAGGAAAAATTTCCAGACCAGAGTTTGGTAGGGTCTGTGAGCCCCGGTGGCACTGTAGGATAAGCACTGGATTGCGAACTGCAAGGTTGGCAGTTCAAACCACCAACCACACCATGGGAGAAAGATGAAGCTTTCTGCTCCCATAAAGATTTACTCTTGAAAACCGTATCTATATAGGGTCGCTATAAATCAGCATGAACTGGATGTTGTGTTTTTTTGTTTTTGTTTTTCATGGTTAAAATAGTAGTATAGTAGTTGTTGTTAAGTGCCATCGAGTCGGTTCCGACCCATAGCGAGACCCTGTATAGGGTTTCTGAGGAGCGGCTGGTGACTTTGAACTACCAACCTTTGGGTTCAAACTGACTTTGCAGTCCAGTGCACTAAACCACAGCGCCACACCAGGACTCCAGTATAGTAGTAAAAGCTGCCAATTATGAAAGACCCAGTACATGCCAGCCATTATGCCAGATTCTTTACAGACATAACATACATTCCAACAGCCTTACTTCACAATGTACATGTGAGCTAGTGGGTAAGACAACTAGTTATCAAGCCTACTTCAAAAAGAACCTGAGACTCATGGAGTTTTGCAATTTTCTCCAGTTCTGGATTCCTGGTCTGAATCCACTAGAGCTCACAATTGTGCATTCTTCCCAGCCTCAGGCAGATTATGTCTCATAATTCATTTCTATTCTTACCACCCTACAACAGGTCTCAGAAAGTAAAGGATTCTGTGGCTGATGGAAAACAGATATAATAAAGAAAAGAAAAATGAAAAACAAAATTTGAGAATTGTCTCTGGGTTTCATTTGACCAGAATCATCCAGCCTTTATCCAGACCAAGATCTTGAGTTCTCTTCCAGAATTTTCTCACATTAACAGCACCCTACCCCTGGGTTTTCTCCCAGTGTGCCCTCCTGTCCAACTCTACATATGACCTGCTAAAGGCAACATCTGATACTGGTGGAACAAACAGCCCAGAATCACCTGCCCTCCATCTGAAGTAGAACTGCCAACTCCCTACAGTCTTCCCCTACCTGTCTCATCCTCACTGTTGAATTCTCTGATAAAAACATGCCCTTCCATATAATTGCTCATTTTGGCATTGACGTTTATTAGACACCTGCTCCTTCCCCTGAATATCTCCAATACACTCTCAAAGTTATTTTCCAGTTCAGCTTGTGAACAGAAACTAATTTGATATAGGAACTCCTGTTTTCATGATATAAAGTTAGAGAGAAAGTTTTAGAAAAAAGATGAGGTTAGAGAGCAGGTTTTGGGACTGGTCATTGAATACATACCCTGATTAATCAACTAATTGATCAAGAACTAATGATTCCCTCACAAGTGGTAGTTGAAGAAGGGTCAACAAAATCATCTTGGTGGTAGTAGTGTGCCGTGGAGTCGGTTCTGACTCATAGTGACCCTGTATAGGGTTTCTGAGGCTGTAAATCTTTACAGGAGCTGAAAGCCTCATCTTTCTCCTGTGGAGCAGCTGGTAGATTCAAACTGCTGACCTTGAGATTAGGAACCCAACATGTAACTCAGTATGCTATGAGGTTTCCTTAGGAAATCATCTACTGTATCTGAACTCCTACAAGTCCTCCCATGACGTTGCAGTAGTTGTCTTCTTTTTATTTTTTGGAAGAAATTATCACAATTGTAGTGCCTTACCACAACACATGTTATGATTGCAGAAGATGGGGCAAGTTCTGCTAGATTCTCTGCTCTGGGTTTCAAAGGTTTAAATTAAGCTGTGGCTGGTTGAACTCTTACCCAGAAGCTCTGGGGAGAATCTCCTCCCAACCTCATTCAGGTTGTTCATGGAATTCATTTCTTTGGGGAATCCATGTCTTTGGACTTGGAAGACTAGGACCTATTTGCTTGATGACTGTCACCCCAGAATCTCCAGAGTTCCTAGAGGCCTCTGTCCAGTCCCTGCATGCGGGTCCCTACATCTTGAGTCAGCAATAAAATGTTGAATACTTTTCAGACTTGGAAACTTTAACTTTACCCTCTGCTGCATCTCTGTCCTGCCTCTCCTGAGAAAGTTCTCTGCTTTTAAGAAACAACATGATATGACCTTGAGACCAGAAGAAGTGGAGGGTGCCTGTCCACCACTACCAACTGCTCTGAAAGGGATCACATTAGAAGGTTTTGGAAAGAGTGGGAGAAAGTGTAGAACAAAACAAAACAAAAACATAAGAAGACCAGATGCACTGGTCAAATAGAGACTTGTGGAACCCAGTCTTTTGTGGGTCACCCTTCAGGTCTAGAAAGCAACTCACTTCTGTGGTTCACTTTTCATCCAAGCTATAGATAGGTATATTGAGGGAGCAAGGACACTAATGAGGTACGGACACTGTAGAATGGTCAACCATCTGAGATCAAAAGGGCAGCACTGACATAAGGTCAAAATTCCCAAGGGTGGGAAAAGGAGGAGGAATAGAAACAAGACACAAAGGGAGGAGATGGGAGGGGATTGCTGTCCTTAAGGAGAAACAAAGTGTATGATTTGCTGAATGTAAAACTGATGATCTGCTCTGTAAACCTCCACTCAATTCACAATAAAAAGTTCTTTTTAAAAAATCACTTGATAGCATGGGCTCACCTAGATAATCCATTTGACTATTCCTGTTTTAAATTTGGCTTCAAATCCCCAATGATCATGTAACATAATACATCTACCTGTTCCAGTGAGCATGAGCATCTTTGTGGAGAAATTATTCAGAATATCCAGAGGGAGAAATTGTTTTATCAGCAGTCATGCTAACTACAACAAAATAATTCATCGTTTCCCTGACTCTTGCTATTTCTGGTCCAGGAGAAAATCCCAGTTTCTTAGTGTGCCTAATTCTACCTGCTCAAGTGATCAGACTGATCATCAGGTGTTAGTAAATTTTCACAAAGTAAATTTTGACCATATATACAAAAGAAGAAGAAAATTCTCAGTTTATTAAAAGTATAAAGTCTATGCAAAGGATGGTGCAGAGAGATAGCGTTGAGTGAGGGCAAGTTCTCCTCATTGCCATTTAAAGGGTCCTTTTGGAAATTGGTGTGATCCTTTATTTAAAAA